TCGGATATTTTTTTAGAATTTTATTAAGATTTTTTTGAAAATCAGGGTCCGGATCCGGTATTTTTCAAATAGCGAACTCTAATCGAATTTATTTAGAGATAAATTGAAATAAATTAAAATATTTTTGTAAATTTTGAAATAAATTTTCCTATGAAAAATCATGGAGGATGGTTGAGAAATAGTACTCCCCCCTAAATTAGTACTCCCCCCTTAAATAGTACTCCCCTTTGGAGGAGGGTTGAAAAATAGTACTCCCGGGAGTACTGTTTTAGGAAATACGGTAATTTGTAAATTAAGTTGCAAATAAGATACTTAGGTTTGTAAACTTGTTAAACTTTAATTAAATTATTTCAAGTTTGTTTTCAAGTTTTTAATGTTTTAAGTTTGCAAACTTGACAAAAAAAGTTTATTTATAATAAGTTTAAATTTTTCAAGTTTGTAAATTTATTCAAGTTTTTTTTATTCAAGTTTTTATAATTATTCTAAGTTTGTAAACCTAACAAACTTGAAAACTTTATTTAAAATAAGTTTAATTTTTTCAAGTTTACAAACTTGGTAAAATAATTAATAAACTTACTTATTCTGAATTGTAAACTTATTATAAATTAGAGTAAGTTTATATTTGCTCACCCTTCTTAACCCTAACTCTCTCCCCTCCTCGTTTACAACCCATTTAGTATTTAAATAAATATTTCCACTCTATAAATAAATTGTAAATCCACCTCATTTTTGAGGCGAATTTAAAAAGCTGCCGTTTCCCGTTGGGGTTGGTAGAAAGCGATCCTGATCCAAATCCTTTCTTCCCGAAGAGAACTTTTAATTGTTTCTATTGTTTCTTGGATCTGAAACCATTTAATTGGGACTGGTCCCTGAATATTAGTCTCAATGGTCTCGCCCAACGGTTGTATTCGGTTGGAGGCTTTTGATTCGCTCCAAAAATTTTTTTTGAAAAATTTTCTGACAAATTTCTCAAAAATTTTTCATTGAAAAATTTTTTTTATTTTAGGGAAACAAGAATGCAATTGAAAGGTTTGAGCGTAGTTTAAAAAGAGGCTTTAAAAAAGCAACAGAATCTGTTCAATTTGAAGTTGAGTGTATTACAAATCGACATCGGTCGGCAAAAGAAATTGAATATATGGTAGGAGGGGAAGAAAAAATTTTTATGGAAAATTTAAAAAAAAATTTGAATTTTTTTTTGGAAATTCTGGAAATTTCCAAAAAAAATTTTCGAAAATTTTTTTTATTAAAAATTTTTTAAAAATTTACAAGTCTTGGAATTTTTGAAAAAAAATTTTTTTCAAGGTAAAATGGAAAGGATATGACAAACATAATTGGATACATCGCAACGAACTTCTTGCTTGTTGCTATAATTTAATTAAAAAATATGAAATTAATAGACTGAAGAATGATAAAAAGGCAAGGGACCCTTTTATCGTTTAAAAATTAATTTTAAAAAAAAATTTAGAAACTCGACAACAAAAATTACATATTTAAAAGACTCAAAAATATACAAATACCCGAGGAAGTCATTTTTAAATTTAAAAAAATCGGGAAGAGGTTGAATAAAAAATTGAGGAAAATAAGAAATGAGCAGAAGAGAAGGCGACGTTTAGAAAAACAGAAACAACAGAAAATTGAAGGTGAGACAAAAATTTAGAAAATAATAAAAAATAATTATTACTAGGGATGGGATTTATATGGACTATCAATCGAAAAATATGGACATATAATATGGACTAAAAATCTCAAAATATGGACTGAAATATGGACTAAAATCCAAAATATGGATCAAATATGGACCGAAAAATGAAAATTTTTAACGTAAAAATGAATTTTCACAAATAAATAATTTAATTTTGTTCATTTAATGTGTTTTCTAGAGGCTTTTTGTCAATTAAAGGTAGATTTAAAGTGTTTCCCGGGGAAATAATTTTAATAATAGCTGATCAAAAAAATTTTTCGAAAAATTTTTGCCAAAAATTTTTTTTGAATTTTTTCAAAAATTTTTTAAAATTTTTTCAAAAAAAAATTTTTTTTTTTCTGACAAAAAAATTCCAAAATTTGAAAATTTTGACCAATTTTTGGCAAAATTTCCAAAATTTTGACCGTTTTTTGGCAAAATTTTACAAAAAATGACGAAATATGGATAAAATATGGAAATATGGACGGAACGCCAAAATATGGAAAAATATGGAAAATATGGATTGATAACTCATTATCGGTCTTATCAACATATGCTAAAACAACGTTTTTCGTGCGTTTCACGACCCAACTAGGCCAGGAAAAAAATATGGAAATCCATATAAATCCCATCCCTAATTATTACAAACACACATACCCCCATAGAGCATTTTTAAGTAAATTTTTTTATCTTCCCAATTCACCTATTTATTTTTAAATTTTGATTTCTCATTTTAAATATTTATTTGAAAATTTATAGGGCACATACTTTTACTTATTTTAATTTCTCTCCCAATATTTAATTTTTTTAAAGAAAAAACTGGAAAATTAATTACCCTATAAAACAAGAAATATTCTCATTTATTTTAAATAGCCTTGAATAAAAATTTTTTTTTAAATTTTTATTTTAATTTTTCTTTTAAATCCTTCAGTCATGTATCAGGTTCCTCACAAAATATAGCCCCATATAATATTAAATATTAGATCCCCTCCTCTCGATTTAAGTTTGTCACCAGTCCTCTATCCTTGTCATTTTCACCAGTCCCCGGCCCTTGACATCATGGGACACTTACTTTTTCGGTTCTCTGTTCTGATCCTTCCCTCAATTCCACGAGGTTTATTCCCTCCCTCAAAATTAAAAAAAATTAAAAAAAAATTATTCTAATTTTAATTCTAGCCAACTTTTTTCTCCCTAAAATAACCCCGTTAAAAGGTTTCAGCATAAAAGTTTCACATTTTTGGTCAGGAAACTATGGAGTCTTCTACTATCAATCACATCACTAAGGTGTTAAAAAAGCATTTGCATACATAAATTATTTTAACGAGAAAAATCAAAAATCAAAAACTTTTTTTATTTGCATTTTTCACCTCTCTAAATATTTCAAGAAATTAAATAGAAAAAATTATTTTTAGTGGAAAAAAATTTTTATTTAAAAATTTTTCTGAAAAGACAAATTTAAACACCAACTTTATATGTATAAGGCGAAGTATGTATTTCCCCCATAAAAATTGCTTAGAAAAATAAAATTGTGATTTTTGTCAAAAATATATAAAATAATAAAATTTGGCGCGTGCTTTTCTGTATTTTTACAACTTTATTTATTTTTCGGTGAAAGTGAATCAGAAATTTTATTTTTATTTTTAAATTTTTGAGGTGTCAAAAAGCTCGTTTAGCGCTAAAAAAATATTTTTTTATTATTAATCTTTTTTAGAATTTATTATTATTTTTTGCTGTGTTCTACATAGTTTTGAAAAAATTTGAGGTGAAAAAAATTTTTTTAATTTTTTAAAATTTTTAGAAAATTAATTTTTGGATAATCTATAGGGGTAGGCTTACTCCTCCAGCCAAATAAATTCTGATTTTTGTATTTTAAAATTAATTAAATTCTGGTTTTTGTATTATTGTATTTTTGTATTTCTGATTATTGTATTTTTAATTAAGAATTCTGATTGGGATTGTATTTTTGTATTTTTAAAAAATATTCAGCATATTTAAAATACAAAAATTCTGATTTTTGTATTTTACAAAAATAAAAATTCTGATCTTTGTAATTGTGTATTTTTTAATTCTGATTTTTGTATTTTACAAAAACACAAAAATTCTGTTTTATGTGTTTTTCTTTACAAATAAATTCTGATTTTTATTTATGTATATTGACTCAAGTTTTAAAATACATTAATTCTGATTTTTGTGTTTTGGATCAGAACTTGTATTTTTAAATTTAATTCTGATGTAGTAAACTTAAACGTAAGTGTTTCACATTTTTGTTTTTCCTTATAAACAATTTTAAGAAATACATAAATTAAATAAATAAATTGTTCTAGTTATTATTTTTATATGATTTATTGTTAATATTTTTCCACCTGTACAAAAAAAAATTTCTTCTTCCTTATATTTTTTCGGATAAAAAATCTTCCTTCCCTCAATACATGTATTTACCTTGTAATAACATTAAAAATCCAAAAAAAAAATAAATTATTCAATATTTTTCCAAATATTTCCTCCCAAAATCAATAAAAAATATTTATTTCTCGAATAACTTTAAAATAAAATTAAAAAAAAATAAAACTGTCACGTTCACAAAATTGGAGGAGAGTGAAAAGAGGAAGAATTAATGTGTTTTTAAACAAAAATACAAAAAAGTTGAACGGTGTTACAAATTCCAACCTGGCAATCTTCATAATGCGGTTTGACATATATGAGCAAATTAAAAGAAAAACACAAAAAAATACTAAAATACAAACAAGTTTTGTGTTTTTGTATTTTAGTTATTTAGGAGAAATTTCGATTTGTGTATTTTTCAGAATAGGTTTTAATTCTAGTTTTCTGTATTTTCGTTAAGTTGATTTTCTTATTAATTCTGATTTTTGTATTTTCCTATTAAGTTTATTTTTAACTAAATTCTGGTTTTTGTGTTTTTTTGTGTTTTCACTAAGTTTATTATTTTTATTCTGATTTTCTGTATTTTCCTATTAGATTTAAATATTAAATTCTGATTCTTGTATTTTCGGAAATAGGTTTTAATTCTTTTATTAATTCTGATTTTTGTGTTTTTGTTCTGATTTTGTGTTTTTTCTTTTATTAAATTCTGATCTTTGTATTTTTTCATTTTAAAATTTTCAGAATAATAATTCTTGTTTTTAATTTGAACTTAATTAATTTTCTTCCCCTTAGAATAACGAGAACGAATTATTTTTTAATTTTCAAATCAAAAATTAATTTTTGAATAATTTATAAAATTTATTCAGTTAGTTTAATTAAATATTAAATTAAAAATAAATATTCTGATTTTTAAATTAATTTTTAAAATTTATTTAGGATGGTCTTTTCTGAGGTTGTCGGCACCCTCTCTTTTCTTCAGCCACAAGGTGCTTAATTAAATTTTTTAATGAAAAAATATTTTTTAAAAATTTTCTGAAAATCAGAGAAATTCTGAAAAAGTCAGAAAATTCAGAAAATATTTTTTTAAATTAATTTCTCTGATTTTTAAGCCGATGATGATATGACTGACCGCTTACACTATTACTATACAACAACCTTTTTGTTGGTCACATCGGTTTTAATAAGTCTAAAAATGTATGGTGGAAGACCTATTGAGGTACTAGTAATTAATTTAAAATTAGGAAAAAAATTTTTTGTCAGTGTTGGATGCCCGCAGAATACCAATCTTCATGGCAGGAATATACCGGTAAAAAATTAAATTCTGATTTATTAAAATTCGGATATTTTAAATAAATTCTGTTTTTATTTTCTGATTTTTGTGTTTTTCCATGATTCTGATTTTGTATTTTTTCATAATTCTGATTTTTGTATTTTCGATTTATATTAAAATCTGATTAATGTATTTTTGATTCTGATTATTTTTAAAACAAAAATTCTGATTTTTGTATTTCTCTCTAATTATTTTTATTAGACATTTAAAAATACAAAAATCAGAAATAATTATAAGAAAAACACAAATAGAATTTTTGTGTTTTCGAATTAATTAAAATTCTGGTACTCAAAAAATAAATTATTTCAGAGATATATTGCTTCTCGATGAACACATACTTTACTCCCTTCGATAAACAAATACCCGATGAAAGTGAAGTGCGTGAAAAAAATATGATTAGCTACTATCAATGGACACCTTTCTTTCTTGGTAAATTAAATTTTTAAATCTTTGAAATTAAAAATTGAAAGAAAATTTAAAAAAGCTGAGGGAATACCTCTACCTAAGTATTTTTGACCAATTTTTTGTGAATGGAGGCTTCTTCTCTCTTCCAATCTTCTCCCTTCCTTCCGCTTCCATTTTTAATTTTCTTCCGTTATTTAAACACTGAGGGTCTGATAGTATTAAGTCGTCAGCTTTCCGAAAAATAATAGCAGATATGACCCCATAATTTTATTCTCTATTTTAAATTTCATGAACCAACCCGTACCTATAGGTTTCTAAATGGTCTCAAAAATTTAGAAAAAAATTTTTATTCTCAAAATTAATTAAATTAAACTTAAAAATAATCATTATCATTATTATCCATAATTATATCATTTTTCATCCTCTCAACTTGCCCATTTTCTCCATTCCAAATTCCTTCAATCTCCATTTTTTCATATTTTTTGGTTTCCTCCCATTCTTCAAAATTGCAACAATTTTTAATTTTATTAGCCAATAATAAAGGAGAAACATCCAAAAACGTTGCTATTTGGTTTACTGTTGTTTGGCTTAGGCCCAAACTTAAATGCCAGGCAAAGTCGATTTTGGTCATTAAATGGCCGTATGTTGCCATTCGGTTTAGGGCGATTATGTAGTTTCTGAAGAAAAAATTTGGAAATTTTTTTGGGAATTTTTTTGGGAATTTTTGGCATATTTTCAACCCATCTCTACTCATTTTTCCATTATTCTCCTATAATATCGCTAATTATTAAATTCAAAAAATTGAGCAATGGAAAAATGATAGGACCCAATTATAAATTTTTTACACAAAATTGGCTGGGCAAATGTGCCTGATTTTGTAATGGATAGAGATTGAGTGTTTGCTTCCTTTTCTGAGCAAATTTAAATAAATATTGAGGGGATAGTATGATGCAGGACTGGAAGATTATTAGGCTCTATATCTTATGAACCCCTAAACCGATTTTTATAAATTTTATAGCATTCGATAGAGCTTGAAATTTCCTACAAAAAACTTAAAAAACAAAATTTTGGGTTAACAGGAGAAAAAGTTATGGGCTAAAAATCCTACAAAAATCGACCTTTTTCATGGATATCAGGCAGTTTTTTGCCTCTAACTTTTTTTCCTATCCATCTTAAATTTTATTTTAAATCCTATCTTGTAGAGAATTTAAATCTCTATCGAACGGCACCAAAATTAGTTCGAAAAGTTTACTGGTTCAAAAGTTATAAGCACTAACGCCTAGTTGGTCGCGCTTCATAAATCCTCTCTCTTAAACAAACAAAAAATAAAATCTTTTGTTTAAAAATGTTTTGGCCTTGTTTTCTGGACACTTATTCTCTTCCTTTTTATTCTTAAGAGGTTTATGAAAATATTTTTTCTATTTTTTTCCAAATAAAAATTGCTCAACTTCAACCTTCCCCCTCAAAGTTTACTCACTTTTTCAAGTGCAAGTAATCCTTAAGAGGGGTTTTCTGGATTTGTTTGGGAAAATATTTTAGTTTTTTAATTCATAAATAATTGTTGAGTTGCCACAGAAAATAAAAAATATTTCCCGTAAGCCCCCTCGGATTTTTTAAATTTTTTAGAAACGGGTTAGCTCACCTCGCAATTCGCAACGTCTCAATTTTTGAAAGTTTCTGCCTTGCTTCGTTACAAAAAAGAGGAACTTTTAGCTATAATTTAATTAAAAAATTATTTTAAATTTTAAAATTTAATTTGGGTCATTTTAGAAAATTTATTTTAAAGGGATAAGGTTGAGAGTATGTAGATGTGAATGTTGGGGCTTGTAATTAATTTAATTAATTTAATTAAAGGAGAGAGAATTTAATAAATTAATTGAGAGAGGGAAAGAATGAGTTGTGGGGGGATACTGTATTTAATAAATAAAAAAATTAATTTTTGGGGGAATTAAAAAATTAAATTAGGAAAAGAGGGGATGGAAAATTTTTTTATTAATTTAAAAATGAATTTAAATTAATTAAAATACCCTCAATTTATCCATAGCTTTATTCAATCCATGCATTCTATTTCTTTCACGGCTATTAGCCTTCATTCTCCTCGACTCCTTTTTAATTAATAAATTGGTAGTGGAATTAATTGATGAATTATTATTTTTCATATTTTTATTCTGATTTTCTGATCTGAAAAAATCAGAATAAAAATCAGAATATTTTCTGAAGTTTCTGATTTTTATTCTGATTTTATTCTGATTTTTTAATTAATTAAATAGGCTAAAAATAGGCAAAAATAAGCCTATTTTTGGGAAGAAAAAATTTTTTTTAAATAATTATGGAAAAAATAAAATAAAAAATATTGTATTTATTAAAGGTACATTAACTCTCTTTTTATTTTTTTATTCGCATTGTTCTGATTTTTATTAGGGACATTTACTAAATGCTAATGAATGGGCGGACCTCGCGCATGCGAACATACACACATATTTTGTCGCCTCCCTTTTAATTTTATTTTTTTACATGCTGTGTGGCATTATTGAGAGGATGAAAAAGGCAACAATGAAAGGAGGAAACCAAGGATTTTAGATATAAAAATTAATCTGTTTAGAAAAAATATTTTTTTAAAGGGGGATGGTTTGAGTAAGCACTAAGAAGGGGTAGGGTCACTTTTTTAATAGTATCTCAAAAACTAGTGAACCGATCGGTATGAAATTTGTACCATTCGATAGAGCATAAAATTATCTATCAAATACAGCTTAAATTAAAATTATTTGTAAATTAGAAAAAAAGTTGTGGTCTAAAATCTAATTATTCTAACCCCAAAAAATATTTTTTGGGGTAAGTTTTTTGATTTTATTTTAATTTTGCTTTGCTCTAAAATTCTATTTTTAATTTTATCTTGTAGAAAATTTAATTCTCTATCGAATGATACCAAAATCATTAAATTTATCAATTCTTTCATGAGTTATTTGGCTTAATGTAAACCGTGTTCCTGTGTTGACGGTACAATAGGTTTTACAATTAAATTCTCGACTCGCTCCATATAAACTTGGAATAATTCGAGAATCAATTTTTAGGATGACAAAAATAAAACAAATTTTAGAAAAAAGTAGTTAGAGCTAGGCCCTACCTATTGTCCCTGTTTTCTGGTATCAGGACTCTGGTGACCTTTTGCCCCCTTAATTGCCCCATAAATTTAAATTTGAATATATCCGAATTAAAATAGTGTCCATCAAGAAATTTTTATCTGTTTTTAAAATCAAAAACAGTTCAAACAAAACAAAGAACCACAAACCGATCGTATACATATCCAAAAACCAAAGAAAGAATTCTTCCCCATTTGCGCGCCTCAAAATAAAAAGGAAATATCCGCTATCAAAAATCCTTTTTGTCTTCCTTTGACTTTCTTTGGCTTGAAATGATGAATGGAAGGCATTCCGAATTGGATTTGCATTTTTCAAAAGTATGTGGGGTCGATGAGTTTTTGGGAGGAAACGATAGAGGAACTAAGGGAGGGAGAGGGAGCCGGGGGAGGGAGGAGGAGGGGAGGAGGGAGGGGAGGGAGGAGAGGAAGAGGAGGGGAGGGAAGGGTGTGAAGAAGGAGAAACTAATCCGTTTTTCACTCCTTTTTGGACTTCAAAAAATTCTTTTAACAATCCATTATTATTATAATAACCCTATAATCATAAAAACACCAAAAAAGATTTACTGCTGACATTGAACAAAATAAAAGGGAAATGTGCGCGGCAATAAATCCTAGAAACGTGACTGACAGTTTTTTTGTTTTAGGAGAGAATTTGGGGCGAGTAAAGGATAAAGGAAGAGGAAAGAGGGATAATTTTAGGATAAAATTTAAGTTAACTTATGTAGCAAGCTTTAGAAACATGCTTCTAAAAGCTTCTAGGCATGCTTCAAGAACTTGCTTCAAGTTTGTTCAACATGCTTCAAGGGATGCTTCAAGTTTCAGAAAGATGCTTCTAATAATCTTTCTGAAGCTTCTAATCCTCTTTCTGAAGCAAGTTTCAAATATTCTGAAGCAAGTTTTTGATATAAATGCTAAGCATATTTCAGAAGCAAGCCTTAGAGTATACCCTGAAGCATGCTTCACAAATTTGCTTCAGAAATTAAAAATATCTTATAGTAATATGTGCCTTTCTTTTCTACTCCCCATGCCTTGTCTGGCGCGCCCTATACACAAAAAGCGGTATTCGAATTAAAGACATTGTTGCCTTTGCTAATGATCGTTCTAACATTCAGCCAAGTAATTTTTGAATTTTTTCTTAAATTTAATTTTGAATTTTATATTAAGAACTGAGAGAAGCTAATGTTAAGGTGAGCATAAGAAAATGCTTCAGAAAATTTTTTCATTGAAATTAGAAGCATGTTTCATATTTATGCTTCAAAATATTTTTCTGAAACAATGTTTTTGTAGGTCTGAAACTTGCTTCAGTTTTGTTTTTTAAGCAAATTTTGTCTTTGAAGCAAGCTTCAGAAGCTTCATGCTTCCAATAAATGTTTCACAAATTATGCTTCTGAATCATGCTTCAAAAAATTTTTTTCCAGTAACTTTACTTTCGTTCAGGGAATGTCAGCTCACTTAGGTTCCGTTTTTCGACACAGATTTCGTTTTAGTGGCAAACACCATCCTCATCACCACAAATTGAGGAGAGCCTTGAATCTTCGTTATTATGAAGCTTACTTAACTTTTCTTTATATTGGAATAAAAACTTTGTTTCTAGCTAATGTTTCAATGCAGGTAATTGACTAAGAGATCTTCGGCTTATTTTACCCCTAAAATAGATGTTTTTAATGAATTGGTTTCTTCAAACAAGCAATTATCGTTATTATGGTTTTGGTGTGTTGGAAGACTTGATTTCCGGAAGGGGTGAATTTTTATATTTAATACTGAAGCAATAGAAACTTTTGTAGCATAAAATGAATTTGTTCTTTAAATTGTTAAAACAACCTTCCGGAAAATACAATAGTATTCTAATTCCGGAAAGATTTTGTATTTTTTTGTGTCTATACATTTCCGGAATGTTTCATCTATAAATTAGCATATGCCTATACTTTTCCGGAATGTTATATTTAATTGTTTGCAAATTCCGGAAAGCTATAAGTATACTTTATATTACTTTTCCGGAAACTAGTTTATTTTACTTTCCGGAAAATACAATATATATTTATTCCGGAAAGTTTATCCCTCTGTATACTTCTCACACATTTTGAAGAACAAATTCAGTTTTAGCTCCAAAATAAATAAAAACAGCTTGGAGCGATTCTGGAAACTTCCCTAGAATTACCTATTGTGATATGGATGTTAGAGTACTCGGTGCCATTCAAAGGCATACAGTACAATGTGTTTTGGTTATTAATATCTTCATCGAGAAATTTTTTATTCTACTTTGGATTTGGTATTCACTGTTATTCATCCTCACAATTATTAGCCTTTTTAAGTGGATACTTTGTTCTTTTCCTTTTGAAGCGAGGAAAAGGTAAGCAGGATTTTGTATTTTGTAGTTGTTTTCCGGAGTAGTAGTATTTTATATTACTTTTCCGGAAACTAGTTTATTTTACTCTCCGAAGTAAAATAACCCCCCCTCCTTTCCGGAAAGATATTTTTACATTTCCTGATACTTTTTATATTTTCCGGAAAGTTTTCTATTGTATTTATTTCATGGAAACTTTAATTACTTTCCGGAAAATTATTTTTATTTTCCGGAAAGTTTTGCTATTGCATTTTTTCCTGAAAACTTTCTATTACTTTCCGGATCTTTTCCGGTTTTATATTTCTGTGAAATTGTTTTTACATTTCCGGAAATCTTTTATATTTCCGGAATTTTTTATGTTTTATTTTCCGGAAACTTAATATTACTTTCCGGATTTTTTCTAATTATAATTTCCGGAAACTTTTTATATTACACCTCCGGAAATTTCTATATAATATTACATAGCTATATTTTTATTTACCATAGTGTTTTTCCGGAAATATTATTTCCGGAAGTATTTAATTCTTAACATACTATTAGAAAAAATTAAGGCTCTACTCCAGTTTATGCGTCCAATCGACTTTTATGCGTCCAATGAAAGTTTATGCGTCCAATAAAAAGAAAATTGGATTTTTCTTGGTATTGCACAGTTGGGGTGTGGTTCCAAAACATTTATTCATGTTCGGGACCTACGCCCACTGGGTCAGGGGCCATTCCTTGCCCTATTTCTCGAAATTTCTGAAAGTTATAGCCAATTTTTAAAAATCTCAGAAAAACGATTGTAACTTTAAGAAATTTCGAGCGATAGGGTAAGGAGCGGTCCCAGACCCAGTAGGCGTAAGTCCCGAACATGAAGAAATGTTGTGGAACCATACCCCAACTGTGCAATACCAAGAAAAATCCAATTTTCTTTTTATTGGACGCATAAACTTTCATTGGACTCATAAAAGTCGATTGGACGCATAAACTGGAGTAGAGCCAAAATTAATTCTCACAGATTTATTGCTCGTCGCCTGGAATTGGCAGATATTGAATTTAAACGAATAAATTATGAACCTGAACTTACCGAGTTTGTTAGAGATTATATCAAAATGGATGGGGTATTTATGCTAAGAATGTTAACTATCCATTCTGGTATTTTGGTATGTACTGAAGTTGTTGATTCCATGTGGGAGGAGTTTAACAGGAGTAGTAGTAAGTTGATTTATTAAAATAAAAATAGGAAGGATTTTTCTTGAAATTGCTTCAGAAGTTTACTGTTACCCTCTAAATTTGCCTCATTTCCAGGCCGTTTACAACGAGCCCATTTACTTGCCTCTAGTCCACAAAATTCTTCAGTGTCGCTTATCAGGCCGTCAGATGAACTCCAACCACTACAAACATCTAAACACGTTTCTAATGCAATTCAACAAAATTTTAAGCGAAAAACTAGTGTTCTAGTACCTCTAGTTAGTGCACAACCAAACGGTGTACATCATGTGGGTCATGAAAAATTCACAAAAAATATTTTTTCGAAATTTCAGAGCGGCTTCTTCTTCCAATCCGTTATGACGCATTCTCCAAGCTTCTCACAACAACACCAAACGCATACAAGCAGTAGTACAGCAGCAGCACAATATTCAACGGGTGCGGGAATTTCTGCAGCGACTAACAATGCTACAAATATAATCATGCCTCCTCCCCCAAGGCAAATATACTTATTTGAATATACTTTCCGGAACTGAAATATAAAGCTTTCCGGTAGCAGAGAATAGAAATTTCCGGAAAAATAAAATATAAATTTCCGGAAATAGAATATAAAACATTCCGGAAATATAATATAAAATTTTCCGGAAGCAGAAAATAACTTTCCGGAAAACTTAATATAAACCTTCGGAAAACAATACAAAAACAACTAAAATACACCTATAATTTTAGAGGAGACTTTTTATTGAGAAAGCCCCCAAATCCTCAACAATGGCGAACCCAACGTAAATATCCTCAACCTTCAATTACCACAATACCTATGGGGGATTGTAATAATAATATAAAAAATAATACATGTGAAAGCGTTTATGTTCACCCCAATACAACACAAAGTAGTGTTGAGATGGGGAATGGTGTCCAACAACCACCTTTGATTATGACAACAACCCCAACTTCTTTATTAACTAGTCAACACCCTTCAAAATCAAATTTAAATCAACAGCAACAACAACCTTTATTACAAACTAGTCAGCAACAACAAACACAGGAACCAGCATTGTGGGAGGTATTGTAATTTAATAAACCTTCCTGAAACACAATAAATACAACTTTCCGGAAGGTATAAAATATAAGAGATTATAGACTTTCCGGAATATGATAATAAAATAGAAAATACAACAGTTATAAAGTAATTCCGGAAAGAGATTTTTCCGGAAAATACAAGAAAATACATATAAGGTTTTTCCGGAAAATACAATTGTAAATAGCAGTTCCGGAAAATAAGTAAGCAAAGTCTTTCCGGAAAATACATATAAGTTTTTTGTATTTTGCTTTAAAATGTAGGTAGTTCCGGAAAAATAAATTTAATTTTCCGGAAAACACAAATAAATGTATTGGAGTAAATACAACCTATATAGCCTGATTAATTACACTTGTACTTTTGTAAAAACACACAAGTTTTAACCAAGTTTAAATGATTCATAGAAATATTCAACGTGTATAAATTCTTTAAAAATACACAAACAAGTTTAATTTATACCTCATTTTAAGTTTTATATTTTATTTAGGTAGAGGAGAGCATGTCTTTGGTAAAAGAAGAATCACTTTAAAACAAACAAAAGAAAAAACATTTTTTTTGAAATCTATTTTTTAATTTTTTAAATTTTTTTATTTTTTTTTATTTTATAGATTTAACGAAAAAAAAAATATTTTTTAAATTTTTCCTTAATTAAAAAATTTTTTTTTTGCCTTATTTTCTTAACGTCAGCATATATTAATAGAGATAGAGCTCATACTAATTAATTATCTTTTATTACTAAGACCTTCAATATTTTTTTAATAATAAAAGTATAGTATAGACATACCTTAATTATCTATATTGATCATGAAAAAAATTTATTAAAATTAATGATAGCGCATTTTCATGAGAGGACACATTTCACCCCTCCCAATTTTTATTTTATTTCTCATTCTTATTTTATCTAATTAAAAGAACAAAAAAACAAAAAATAAATAAAATAACAACCTTTTTTAATCGAAAACAAAAATTCACATTTTTACAAAAAAAATTATTTTAAAATGCAATAATCACTTTTTAACGAGAGAGGAGAGGAAGGACAACAAACACTCGCCGCCCCCGCCTAATCAAAAATTCTTTTCCACCTGATTTTTTATTTTAAATTTTATTTTTAATTTTTTTATGGTAGTTAATTCAATTATCTTTCGAATGATACCAAATTTATTTTAAAATGTTAATCCATTCAAGAGTTATGAGAGAAAACAGACACGGAGTGTTACTTAGTGGGGACACAAAATTTAAAAAATCACAACTTTTTTTGTTTTTAACATAAAAATTTATTTTTAATTTTATTTTGGAGTATAATCAATTATTTATTTTTCAAAAAATTTTTTATCAAAAAATATTAATCCATTCTTTAGTTATCTTTGTTTTTGTAGACACTTTTTTTATAATAATCAGTTAATAATTATTTTTTTCTCAATTTTTATCAGTTAAAATTAAGCTATTATTTTAGCAATTAAATTACTGCAATTAAATATTTTTCCAATTTTATGATAATTATTTTATTTTTATTGCTATTATTCGACCATTACTGATGAAAATTAAAACAATATTTAAATTATAGGGTAATACATATTATTTGAGTAAATTACCGGAAGAGTGTTTTCAAAGCTTTCCGGAAAATACAAAAATTGTGTTTTCTTTGTATTTTTTCCGGAAAATACAAGAAAACTTTCCGGAAAAGACAAGTAAACTTTTCCGGAAAATACGAATAGAACATTTCCGGAAATTATTTGATTAATACAACAATTATAACATTTTCCGGAAAATACAAATTCAACTTCCGGAAAGTAACCGAAAAAATTAAATAAAAATAGAACCAGGTAATACCCTTCCGGAAATACAATAAAATATTTTCCGGAAAATTTTAAATAGACTTTATTTTTACTTGATGTATTTTCTTTATTTATTTTTTTTGTATTCTCTAAAATTATTTTATAATTTTTAAATTAAAATTAGAATGAAGCTATTATCTACTTCAGAATCCCCATTAACCCTTAGAACTGTTATTTTTATATTGTTATTTATTGGATTAACACAGAGCTTGCCTGATAATGTTGGGGATGGGTCTAGTTTTCAGGTACTTATTTTTATTCAAAATAATTTTCTAAAAAATTTAAGATAAAATATGTTTGGGCATTAATAACAGCTTTTCATTTATCCTTTACTTTTGGTTTTGCAATGGGTTCCAATGAAGTATCCAATGGTAAACTAAAATAATGAATATTAAATAATCCGGAAAATATAAATTAATTAACGAAGAATACAAAATTTTCCGGAAAGTATTAAATTATTAAACTTTCCGGAACAAAAATACAAACTAATAAAATAATTATTCCGGAAAATATAATTAACTTTCCGGAAGCAATTAAATGGTAAAATACATTCCGGAAAATACAAATAAATACAAAACTTTCCGGAATATATTTTCCGAAATACAAAATTTTCCGGAATACAAATAAAACACAAAATAAATACAAAATTACAGCCTTTGCAACATCCGTTGGTTCCGGAGCAATAAAGCTTAGAACAGCCTATATTTTGGCTACTATAATAGAGAGTGCTGGAGCTATTTTGCTTGGTTTGTTTTTTGAAAAAGAGATTTATTTTTCCAATTTTAATCCTTTCAGGTTACAAAGTCTTACAAACCCTTCGATTTGAAGTTATTGACCTAGAAATGTATGCAGAAGCACCCCACGAACTTCTTTTAGGGCAAATTGCTATTCTTGGGGGTATATCCTCTCCAAAAAATTTTTTTAATTTTATTTGTTTTATGTTGTGCAATGTGGATGATGACAGCCACTTTTTGTGCTCTCCCTGTGTCTTCTACTCATAGCCATATAGGGAGTATAATTGGTTTTTCTATGGTAATGAGGGGACCTAAAGGATTGCATTTGAACAAAGTGTTTTTAATTATGGCTTCGTGGATTGTTTCGCCTGTAAAAATTTTTAAATATAATTTACACGATTTAAAGCCTTTATTTAATATTTTAATTGAATTCTAACATAAATTTAATTTATATGGGGAACTTAAAGGAAGCTGAACCAACAGAGCATAAACCTCCATAACTACTAGAATAATAATCCGTTCCAGATAGTCTTTATATCATTCGATAGCTAAGAAAATCTGCTACAAAATCAGTTAATATTAAAATTTTGGATAGCTAGGTAAAAAAGTTAAAATCAAAAAACCACCAAAAATCGGAAATTTTCAGTAAAAATGAGAGTTTTTCGTCGCCAACTTTTTTCACTTCAAACATAAATTTTTAATCATCCTATTCTTTTTAGGTAATTATTAGCCCTATCGAATGATACCAAGAACTCTAAAAAAGGTACATCAGTTCAAGAGTTATAGTGGATAAGCTAAAGCATGTTTCTTCTCCACTACCTCACGTTCCCCCACCAATTAAAATTAAAAAAAAATTCCAGGCACTTTCCGGCCTAGTCTCTGCAATCCTATACATCATTTTCGACATTGCGGTTTTCAGAAGAGTGGGTAATTCTCGATTTAACTAAAAGAAATTTAATTTTTGAATTTTAAAAATAGAGAGATTCATTAAAATGTGGACTACGCGCAATGCCTATATTCTACTTTTGCGTGTTTTATTTTAATACGTTTATGGTTGTGTACCATGGATCTAAATGTAAGAGAAGGCTATACTCAACAAAAAATTTTTTAATTAGAAAATATTAGGTAAACAGGAAAATAGTCGGTGGATTTGAGGTCTTCCACGGGTCTTTATCCAATTTTCTGCCTTACTGCCCAAATTTCCGCTTTGCCGAATTTTTCCAAATTTTTCTGAGAAATACACAGAAACCCTGCAGAAAGTACTTCCAAGACCCTCAAGAATAGTTTTTTACTTTAAAAGTTATAGAAGCTAGGTTAAAGTATGTTCCTTTCGCACTACAAGCCATGTTCCATACGCACTACTAAACATCTTTAAAAATTCCTAAAATCCTTAAAATATTTTAGGGATTGGATTGGACACTACTCCCTTCTGGCTTGCTTTATTAATCAGCCTTGGTGTTGCTTCATTGGCTTCCATGAGTTTTCAATTTATATTTCGGCCATTTATCTTGAAGTGGGTACGACGAGGAGATTCTTCTGAAGAAAAGAATGGGGGTAATTGGAAAATTTCTCTTAAAAAATTTTCTAATCCCCCTTTTAAAGTACCCCGCCTTACCCCAGCAAATGGTGCCTTTACTTCACTAGAGACCAGTTTTGCTCATAATGCCGTTACTGTTGGAGATCCTGATCTAGGTCTATCATCTTCCAATCATTTATAAAAAATTTTTAAAGGTCTAAGACGCTTCTGGTTTTTGCCTAATAGAACGCGTAGGGATGACCCGAAGACTCTACGCTTGTTTAGCGCCATTCAAGTTTTTACTGGGTGCTTTACTGGATTTTCGCATGGATCTAAAGATATTCCTAATACTATTGCTCCTTTGGTAGGTAAATTATTGAGGGAATATGAGATATAAAAATTTACAGTAAACGAATGAGAATTTTAAAAATTCGTATTTCCTAAATTATTTTTCCATTATTTCTAAGTCCCAGAGGCAATATTTTGTAGAGAACATGTACAAACGAAATGTTCTCTCCAGCTTATCTCATTCTAGTCTGAACGGCACATGTTCTCTTCAGCCTACTTTCTAGTCCGAACGGTACATGTTCTCTTCAGCCTACTTTATAGTCCGAAGGGTACATGTTCTCTCCAGCCTACTTTCTAATCCGAACGGTACATATTCGCCCCAGCCTCATCCTACTCCGAATGGAACATGTTCTCTTCAGCCTACCTTTTAGAGGGAATAGTCATCTTCAAAAAAATTTTCAATAAACTTTTCATTCTCTAGGCCACTCTCATTGCCGTATTCTCTACAGCTAAAGTTCCTTCACCCGGCGAGACCCCTTTATGGATTCTTTGTTATGGTTCTTTTGCCGCCTGTATCGGATTTTGGATGTTAGGTCATCGTGTGATAAAAACTGTTGGGAAAGAATTTACAGAAATTAATTCTTTTTGCGGGTTTACTGTCGAATTGGGTGCCGCAATAACTGTTTTGTGTGCAGCAAAGATTGGCATTCCTGTATCAATGACTATTTGTATTGTAAGTTTTATAGACGACTTTAGGTGAATTTACGGATACGGTAGTCAACGAAATTTATAATTAATGTTTGTGTAGGTTAATATTTGCGGACATAAATTTGCAGACAGAAACTTGCGGACAGAAATATGCGGACAAAAAACGGCAGATAAAAAATTTGCGGACAAAAATTTGCGGACACCAACTTGCAGACAAAAATTTGCGGACAGAGAATTGCGGATGAAAAATTTGCGGACAGAAACTTGCGGACAGAAATATGCGGACAAAACACTGCAGACAAAAAATTGCGGAGAAAAATTTGAAAAAAAAATTTGCGGACAGAGACTTGCGGACAAAATATTTGCAGACAGAAACTTGCGGACAAAAAATATGCGGAAAAAATTCTTCAGATAAAAATAAAATTACAATTTAAAGGTTGGCAGTATAGTCGCTGTAGGAGCTGTCCGCGGATCTGTCCCTGTTAACTGGCAACTTTTTCGAAAAGCTTTTTTGGCTTGGATATGTACATTCCCGTTATCTGGAGTATTTTCTGGTTGTATTATGTTTGGATTAAAATATTTTTTTCTTTCGAAATAAATTTATTTTTTTTTAATTTTTTTACTCTTTCATAAAAAATTTTTTTTTAATTTTTAATTTTAACCCTACGAAAAAATAAAAATATATTTTTTAAAATAATTTTATGCCAAATTTTATATACTACTTCATATAATAAGAAAAAAGGCCAATTGTTATAGATAAATTTGCGACTTAACGATAATTTAAAAAATATCGCAGGAAAGTTAATCGCAAATTTTTAAAAAAAATTAATTCAGGAGCAGTGTTTGGAAACTTGTAACAAAATCCCATTAAATGTTTGTGGGGGAGGGAGGGGGGTGTCCATCTTTACAAATTCTTTCACAGACACCGACAGCTTTATTTTTGGTGTCTTCTAGTTAAAATAGTATCTTCTTTTTTGTCATCTAAAGAATTATCACCCTTTTCTTCCGGAAAAATTGAACCATACACATCTCTAATGTTATTTGCAAAAACAACCAAGATTCCACATTTTTGTTCTTCTGTTAGTTTTTCGTATTCTTTCTTCATTTTCATAGGGAGAAGGATTCGAGCCTTTCCCATATCCGCAGGATGCGGCAGCGCAAGGAAAAACTAGATTAATTCTTCCCTCTTCTGTGGAGGGAAGATTCTTAAAAAAGCCTATTCCAGCTGGTGATTTATTTTATTTTGGGGTTAATTTTGGTGGGGTTTAAGTGAGGGAGGGGGAATGGGGGTGGAGTACATAAAACACAAAAATTTTTTTAAAAATATTTGCACAATGTTGAATTTATTTAGATCTTGTCACCACTGGCTCAATTCAGCAGGACGGAACGATGGGAAGGGCCTTCCGTGGAAAGTGCAGGCCGCCGCGGCATTGAGAAAGAAGAGAATTCTACTTCCATCCAGTATGAGGGAGGATTTTGAAGGTATTTGAACGTTATGGTATTGTTGCAGTTATGTGGAGAATTTTTGTGATTTGTGATTTTTTTTCAGCTTTCTAATTTCCTCGAAAAGAAACACAAACTTTAAAAGGATTAAAATACTAGTATTTTTATTAAATCTAAAATTTTTTGAAAACCCCTATCAAGGCTAAATTTTAAAGATTTTTAACCCGGCACATAATCCCTGATTCTAACTAACAACAATACCATAACGTTCATTAATTGGAATACCTTCAAAATCCTCCCTCATACTGGATGGAAGAAGAATTCTCTTCTTTCCCAATGCCGCGGCGGCCTGCACTTTCCACGGAAGGCCTCCAACCCTTCCCATCGTTCCGTCCTGCTGAATTGAGCCAGTGGTGACAAGATCTAAATAAATTCAACATTGTGCAAATATTTTTAAAAAAATTTTTGTGTTTTATGTACTCCACCCCCATTCCCCCTCCCTCACTTAAACCCCACCAAAATTAACCCCAAAATAAAATAAATCACCAGCTGGAATAGGCTTTTTTAAGAATCTTCCCTCCACAGAAGAGGGAAGAATTAATCTAGTTTTTCCTTGCGCTGCCGCATCCTGCGGATATGGGAAAGGCTCGAATCCTTCTCCCTATGAAAATGAAGAAAGAATACGAAAAACTAACAGAAGAACAAAAATGTGGAATCTTGGTTGTTTTTGCAAATAACATTAGAGATGTGTATGGTTCAATTTTTCCGGAAGAAAAGGGTGATAATTCTTTAGATGACAAAAAAGAAGATACTATTTTAACTAGAAGACACCAAAAATAAAGCTGTCGGTGTCTGTGAAAGAATTTGTAAAGATGTGACACCCCCTCCTCCCCCTCCCTCCCCCACAAACAATTAATGGGACTTTAAGTTTGTTTTTCTTTGACATTGTGTTATTTGGGTAATCTAATAAATTTATCTAAAAACGATTTCCATCAAATCCTACAAAACTTTATTAAAATATACCAATAATCTCGTTTTCCGAAAAAAGGTCCTTAAAAATTAAAAATCTTGAAAAGGCCCCTTTATAATTTTCTCAAAATAAAATATCTTTAAAAATGCGATTAACTTATCCCTTTACATATACACTAGAGACTAGGGGGGATTTTTTGGCTGAATTTTTACAATTTTACAAAAAAATATTTTCTATAATTTTATATATTTAATATCTAAAAAATAGCACCTTTTTTTCCTTCTTTAAGTTTTAAAAAAAAATTTTAGCACCCACAAACACACACAAAGTTGAACATTTGTTGTTATATTTTCATTGATATGCACAAATAATTAGACTACAGAAAGGCACATCTTCTTTTTCACTTATAACTAAATAAGAAAAAACAATTTTTTTATTAAAAAAAATATATAAGATTTTTATTCAAAATTAGAGATGGGCAGAGTCGCGAAAAAATTGGGCCAAGGTTTTTCGATCGGATTCTCAAAATTAACTTCAATCACAAGTTTGGGTGAGAAACAAATAAAAAAAGTGCCAGGGTATTGGATAACTAAGACACATACTCACATACTAAGGATTGGGATTGTATCCTACCCCCCCCCCCTTCCCGTAGCGCTGCCTCCCGAAAATTTTCCCTGTGGTCCCCCATCGGTCAACAACCTTACTAGAATGGAATCTCTCCCGCTTCAGTTTTATCCTGTCATTTTTTAAAGTAACAAGAAAAGCAACAAAGGGCTTTGAATAACTGAGAAACTCTTTAAATTGTTAAAAAAATAAATTTCTTTACCTAGCCAAAAAACGTTCATGAAAAGTTTTGAACCGAACCAGCATTTCATTAAATAATTCAATTTGGGGTAATATTGTAGTTCGAAAATGCCAAGTATTGGGACGTTGACCAAAGCCAGATCCGGGAACAATACAAATCTATTAAAAAGAAAAAAATTTTTTTTAATTTTAAAAATTTTCAAAAAATTTCAAAAAAATTTTCGAAAAAATTTCTTCCCAAAAACCCTCACCTTTAAAAAATATTAAAATAAATACCCCAGTTTCCTCCAATAATTTTTTTGCATAGAAAAAATCTGGTTGTTCTCCAAGTAATTGAGCTTCTTTTATTGCTTTTTCAGGAAGGCAAATTTTAGGAAAGGCATACATTGCTCCTTTAAAAAATTTTTTTGAATAATAAAAAGTTTGTATAGTACAAATAATGATTTCTTTATAATAAAGACAGGGTCCGGAAAATTAATTATTTTATAGATTCAAATTTGGAACATAAACACATGACTCGGTAAGTGTTAATCCAAGGAGTGCAAAAGACTCGGATTATACTAACCGACATTTGGGATACACGATCGATCCAAATTTTTTTTATAAATTTTACTTAACCCCTACATAACACAATTATTTTTCACTTTGACATTCCTAACATTTACCGAAATGAAATAAAAATGCACCGTAAATATCCTAATCCTTTCCCTAAATACCTATTAAAGATCCACTCAATGAGCCTCATTGGAAAAAAGCCCGAGGTTTTAAATAAAATATTTATGTTAGCATGATAAAGCAAAGAACCTTGGACTTGTTGACAATGAACACCTTCAATTTTATTATAAGATTCAGTTACTAATTTGGCACGTTGATTTAAAGAAGACAAAACTGCGTTCTTCTCCTAAAATAAATTTAAGCTTGAATTTAAAAAAATCAAAAAAACCTCAAACCAAAGATTATATGACGGATCACCAGGTTGTGGATGATCAACAATACAATCCATTGCTATCTAAAAAAAATTTTTTTTTGAGTTAATTTAAATTTTAGTTCAAAAATATGGAAAGCCATTAAAATTATAAATTCCACGAAGAGGAAAAGTCGCCTACAAGCAGGGGTGGATCGGAACAGTCAGTGATGTCGGAAATCGGAAGGAGAAAAACGTCGGAAATCGGAATTCACCCACCTCTGCCTACAGGGGAAAAAATATGTCAGCAAGTTTTTCACCCCCTCCCCCTCCATTTTTCAGAGATAAGTCAAGCTCTCTGATGTAGATCTGATATCATTTAATTTATATTTGCTTATTGTTAGAAGTCCACCTACCCCCACTCCCTCCTATAGATCATGAAGGATGATGGAGTGAAATGCCATCTTTCCATATATTTTTAACAAATAAAAACAGAAAAACCTGTCCCAGCACAGTTGAACAAAGCTTTGCAGAAATCATCTTTTTAAAATGGACATAAACTTGGGGATCAAAATTGTCAAATTGTACATAACCACCACGCAAACCACATTCTCCCATATAACCCTAGAAAATTTATAAATACTCCAAGAAGCAAATTTTATAATAACAAAATCGTAGCGCGTATTAATGCCAAAACGCCGAAAAACCAAATCCCCCTATGAGATTCTCAAAAACTGAGGAAATAACAACATAGAATACAACTCTTCAAAGCCAGGAAATGCCAAAAAATTACAAAAAAGGATTGTCGGTTTCATCGAATTCTTCGGTTAACCGAAACTGAGACACTCCAAACCGAAAATCTTCAGTTTTTCGGTTTGATTTAAAACCGAAAAATCTTAGTTTTGAGTTCAAATTTTTCATAAATTAATAAAAAATAAGAATTTAATGGGGAAAACAAATAAAAACTCATTTTTATTTATTTAAGGACCTCTCCACCAAAGAAAAAAAATTTTTTTTAAATTTAAAAAAAAAAACCTTTGAGCACGAATAAAAACTAGCCAGCTCCAATTTATCATATGGACTTCCCATTTCTTTCATAATTTTTCTAAAACTGTAAAATTTGGCTCCTTCTGCATAAACATTTTCTTGATAAACCTTTAAAAAATTTTGGAAAATTTTACAAAAATTTTTCAAAAATCCAAACCTCATCAGCAAAAATAAACAAATTATTTTTGTAAGCAAATTTAATTATATTTTCAATATTTTCTTTTGTTAAAACTTGTCCAGTTGGATTGCCAGGATTAATTACTACAATTACTTTGACGTCAAATTTTGTTTGGTGCTCTTTTAATGAACGTTCCAATTCTTGCTAGAAAAAATTTTAAAAAATTTTAAGACTTGCGGACAAATATTTGCGGACAAAGACCAATAAACAACAGAATCAAAAATGAATTCAAAAGAGGAAAGTATTCACTAAATCACTTTAAAAGGGGTTAACCACTCAAACTTCGATCCGAAAAAAAATTTTTTTTAAAGCCCCGAACCCGATCTGACATTCTTTTCTATCTGACACAATCTCATGAAGTTCTTTGGACAGTAACTTAAACAGGAACTTAAAAAAAACCAAAAAATCAGGAAATAACTTTTCCAAATCATCAAAGGAACCAGGATATTTTAAACAAAAAAAATTTTTTTTTAAATTACCAAATCCAAAGCCCAATTCTTTTCTTCTTCCAAAAAATATCCAACTTGTCCAAGATTGAATTCTTCAATTGAAGCAGAATAAAGAGGATATTGAGGTATTGGAACCATTATTCCTGCCTTCTTTTTTGATGAATCGTGATGAATAAATAATTTGAGGACATTCTAAAAGAGAAAAAGATTTTTTTTAATTTTGGAAATTTGTCCGCAAAAAAAATTTGCGGATTATCCGCAAAAAAACTTGCGGATTGTCCGCAAGTTTTTTTGCGGACAATATTTTTTGATAATCTTTTTAAGAAAAAAAGAAACCCTAATAGCCTCTGAAGCACCGCCAGAAATGCAAATACTGTCAGGATCACAAGGAATTTTATCACGTCTCTCAATGAATTGGGCAATGTGTTTTCTGATAAGTTCGATTCCGTTGCTTTGAGTGTAGGCACCTTTAAAAAATGAAAGATTAAAATTTTTTAAAGAAAATTTATAGATTTTTGAAGTATAAAACCTCTTTACAAATTATAAATCGAACAAAAAAAATTTTTAAAGAAAAAAAAAATTTTTTGCGGATTCTCCGCAATCTTTTGCGGACAAATTTTTTTCTCCAAAGAAAAATCACAAACCAACACTCCCTCCTCCACAAGCACCCAACAAACTCAAAGCCTTCTGTTTCACATCTTCAGGATACAAATTAGTTTTTAACAAGGAAGGATCAGTTGTGCACGCAATTACTTGCCTGAAAAAGAGAAAATTGGTTAATCCTGGACATTTGATCCCAAAAATTTTAAATTTATTTTTATCCCAGAAAAGACAAAACCTCAAAAAATAGGAAAATTTTTAAAATAAAAAAAAACAAAATCTGCGGACATTTGCGGATTGTCCGCAAATAGTTGCGGACAAAATTTTTTTCAAAAAACCTCCCACAAAAAATTGACCGCATAAGACAATTTTTAGACACATTCATAATAAAAATAACCGGAGTGCCACCGGCTAATGTAAAGCAAAAGAACCAAAAAAAATAAAAAAATTAACCTTATAAAAGTAATTGGAGTTTGTCCCATTGCATGAGCATCTCCAATGTTGGCTTTAATCACTCTATCGAAGGGCAACTTTGCTCCCTAAAAAATTAATTTTTTCAGAAAAAAA